ACTTCGTATTCACACTATCGCCCCTAGTTTACTTCCTTGGTACTCTTCACTTTCATTAGTTTACTCATCAGTTCAAAATCAACTGTCAAGGAAGCAACTTCTCACATCTCCTTACATATCCGAACCTCGTACCATGTCATCATCCCCACCATACCAAATACCCCGTGTTCAAGTCCCCCGTACGCTTCCGTTCACCGAAGTCTCTCCAATTGCAGACGAACCTCGTAGTGTTGTTAAATGGGCCCATAATATGATAGATAATATGCGGCAAATTAGCTTCGATCCCGAAGAAGGTGCAACTCAATCTACATTTCAATTTCGGACGTTATCCGAACCTCGTAAAACTCTAAACCCCGGCTTAACTCGTAAAGGTCGTAAACGTGTACGCGCAAGCCCAGGGGCCGTATCGATACAACAGGAAGCCGAAACGACACTGGTCGAACTCATCAATATGTTGCATTCAATCGCAACTAAAATCAAAGCAAGTGTAACAACTGCGGAGGCCTCAATTGCTCAATCTGGAAATATAAAGGCCGAAATAAAAACACAAGTGCTATCTAGTCTTTGTGACATCGTTGCTGAAGCAAATAGAATAGGATCGGTAGAGTCTAACCTGGTCGCAAATATAGTGAATAGAATTGCGGACTCAACAGTCAAACGTGCAAGTGAAAAATTACCGAATGAGCTGATAAAATAATGTCAACAACAGCTAACAAGGTCAGTGAAGCGACCAAGTCAGCCATCAAGGAAGGTGCAGTTCACTTCCGCCTCTAAACAACGAGACAATATCAAACCCGATCCCTGGCCCTTCAATGAACTTCGTCCCAACTATCAGGCACTCCACAAAGAAGGAGGTACGCAGAAATGGCAAGGAATATAAACCCGACGGTTGATGGCTCCTGTGCCTTTATTGTTAAACAAACAAGACCTTGACCCAGGAGAAGCAGATAAGCAGAAAGACTGCTATACTATATAACGGAGAAAATCGATCCATGTGAGATTGGAGTAAACGTGCAACGAGTTAGTAAATTAGGGTTCGAAAGACCTTAATAAGGTGTCCAACGCTTAAAGATAAGCGAAATGATAGAGGAAGCTTCAAAGAACAATGAATTCGAGATTGAGGAGGAGAAGCCACCTCACCTATTCGTGAAAATTGCCCGTGTAAGTGAATCCGTTGGACTTGACCAGATAGCAAAGCTTATGGTTGCAGAACAGGGAAGTTCTCTAGCTACGAAACCGAAACCTTTTCTGAGGATATAATTAATATCCAAGAGGAAAGAGAGGATGGCATCAATCCAATACAAGGGATATAATACTGAAAGTAACATCTAAACTATTTCGATCGCTTATCGAAGCTCGGAAAGTGGGAATTAGATACCAATATGTGCGCATCTTTCCGCATGCTCTAGTAACAAGGTGCCATAAATGTCTGAGCTTCGGACATGTTGCCAAACACTGTCGTAGAAGAGACCCAATTACTTCGTGCCACAACTGTCATGAAGACCATCCTGTCAAAGAGTGCACGAACAAAAGAAATTTTGAAAAATACCGTTGTCTGAACTGTGAAAGACATCCCTATTATACCAAAGGAGCAGAACGCGTATATGGTCATAGCACCCGGTCAACAAGGTGTCCAGTATATAGAGAAGCCCTAGATAAGCAAAGGCAAATCTTGGACTTCTACCTCAAATCTGAAAAACTTTTTTAGATGCAACCACCAACAAAGATCAAAATACTACAGCTAAACGTTAACCGAAGCAAAACATCGACTGCACAAGCAATAAGTATCTGTGAAGAAGAGGGCGTAGCTATAGCCATGCTACAGGAAACTAACCATTACAATACAAGCTGCGAGGTGTAAAGAAAAGTTACAATCTTTATGTCCCATCTGACCATGAACCGAACGGAAGAGCCTTCGCTGCAATAATTATTTTAGACAAAAACATCCCACAAATGCCGCTGAAATCCAATTCATCATATATTGCGGCATGTAAGATCTTCACCACCGATGGATGGATAACATTAACATCGGTATACATTCCTCCGACAGTGAAAAGAAAGGAGATTATTACATCACTGACCCATTTAATCCGAACCTCGACTGCTACTGATCAAGAACAGATTATCTGCTGTGGTGACTTCAATGGACGCTCAACTCAATGGGGAGATGAGAAAACTAATGCAAATGGGCTTCAAGTAGAGGAAATGCTGGAAGCTAACCAGCTAGTTCCGGTAAATCATGGAAAACACCCAACCTTTAGTGCAGTGCGTTCAGGGGTTCTTCATAAAAGTATAGTGGATCTCACCTGTGTCTCTCCCAACCTTCTAGCACAATCGCACGATTGGAAAGTAAGGGCGGACTCATCGACAACTTCGGACCACTATGCGATCACGTTTGAATTATCAGTGAAATACAAGTTTACAGCCTTCGACTCAACTAAAGTATTCAAGCAGATTCCCAAGTCATGGAGAAACTTCGAAAACATTGCTACCCAAAAACTTGACAGTGTGCATCGAGCTCGAGAGTGCAGTGTTGAAATTCTTGCAGCAAGATATACGCGTGCGGCTACAGAAACTGCAGATTATACAATTCGTAAAAGTCAGAAACAAATGTCGAGGAAATGTTTCTGGAAGAATTCAACCATTGTGGCTCTTGACCGAAGGATAAATGCCTTGAGAAGAAGTATCTCGGTATGTTCTAACTCCGAGCGTCGTGACTCGCTGAGAAAACGGTTAACCGAGCTTCGTAGTGAGGTTTCTAGTCATATCAAAGAGGCGAAATTAAAATCGTGGAGAGACTATACTAAACAACTTGATGCTAGCAAAACATGGGATCCGGTCAACAAATGGCTAAAGAACTCTTCTGTTATACAGTCACAGTGTCTTACAGATTCAGAAAACAAGTTCCTGTCTGCCGCAGATTCAGGAATGTTATTATTAAACACCTTCTTCCTGATGATACGGAACATAACGATTGTGCTCAACATATTGTAATTCGAAGATACAAAATCAAATGAAGCTATTGACAACATACTTCCAGCAAATGATCCCCTTTCAGCTACAATGAACTTGAGAAGGTTTTTCTAAGGTACATGTATCAAAGTCACCAGGATATGATGGTCTCAATTCAGCGATTTGTGAACGATTACGACAACAAACGGACCTTCTGCTTCATGTCTATAACTGCTGCCTGTCGCAAGGGTCTTTCCAAGGTTTGGAAAACTGCAGTAATAAAATATATTCAAAAAGTGGGAAAGGAGATTACACTAAACCGAAGTCTTATCGCCCAATCGGACTTCTACCAATGCTGGGGAAAGGTCTTGAGTCGTTGATACATTCGCGACTGTGTTGGCACCTCGAAAGAAACAATTTTATTGATGATTCGCAATTCGGATTCCGAAGAGGGAAATCAGCAGAAACCTGTATTCAAACTCTCGTGTCAGACCTATCCGAGGCTCGGAAGACAAATAACATCGTCATACTTATATCATTAGATATCGAAGGTGCTTTTGATAGTGCCTGGTGGCCGAGTGTATTGCATAAACTACAGAGAGCAAGGACTCGAGGAATCTTTATCACCTTATTCACTCTTACTTGTCAGAGAGAAGAGTAGAGCAAGAAGATTTATGCTCCCGTGCAGAGAAGACAACAACAAAGGGTGTATACAAGGTTCAGTCCTTGGGCCGTTTTTCTGGCTGTTAATCATAAATGATCTTATAAGAGACCTGAGCAAAGGCATAACTGTTTATGCTTATGCTGATGATGTCTCTATTATAGTAAAAGCGAATACAAAGCAGTTGATGACAGAGCAACAACGTGATAAAACAAGTATCCGAATCATGGTCCCTGAACGAGAAGATGAAATTCTCTGCCCAAAATCTGCCTTGCTGGTAATCAAAAATAAAGGAGATTGCATTGAGCTGAAGATAAACGACGAAATCGTACCTGTAGTGGAAACTGTGAAACCCTAGGCGTCACCCTAGATAAACAGTTGAAATTTACAAAACATCTTGATCAACTTCTGAGGAAAACAACGCAGTTTAGTAACAGAGCTGCGTTTAAAGCACAGTCAATGTTTGGTAACCACATCGAAATATTCAGAAAGATTTGGGATGGCGTTGTAATTCCACTCTGGAGTACGCTGTTACAACATGGGGCTCTCTCTCTCAAGTTCAATTACGTAAAACAGAAGCTTAGAAAGTTGCAAAGATTGTACATAATAAGAACTTCAAAACTTTCTACACCACATCCTGGGTCAACACAATTGCCATCTGTGGTTACAAACCAGTAGATACCGTACTAATCAAAACGATGCTGCAGAGAAATATTATAAGTGGGTACAGAAGCGTATTATCCTTCCGTCCGATAGGAAATTTGAGCAGACAATCCCTTACGAACCTCGTCTTCATCCAGCTGGTCTCTCTGTCAAATTCAGAATAACCGAACCAAGTGATGAACCTAGTCACCGAGCTCGGAAGATATTCATGTGTACACGGATGGCTCGAAAACTTCGGATGGTGTTGGTGCTGGTGTCTTCATTCTGTATGATACAGCCAGAGAGCTCAAGAAAGTTCTGCCTAGCTGATTACTGCACTGTCTTCCAAGCAGAGGTATTCGCGATAATGAAGGCAGCTGAAATAGTGGATAAGCTTATCGCGTGTCATAAATCAGTTACGATAAACACTGATTCTCAAGCAGCACTTCTAGCAATTAAACAGTATACAAACTCGACAAAACTGATATCTGATACAAGGGTACTATTGGAAAGGATAGCAAACAAAGCAGAAGTCGAAGTACGATGGATTAAGGGCCATGCTGGGATAGATGGTAATGAAATCGCTGATGACTTAGCCAAAAAAGGAGTCAAAATGAAGACTAAAAAGAATTTTGACAGTGTACCTAAATCATATGCCAAATATCAGCTAAAGACGATAAGTGATGCAGAGAGCAACAAACTACTAGCTGGGAACGAAAACAGCCAAATCTGCAGGTTCTCGAAGTCTTTTCAGGCACTTTCTAACATTAGCGAGCTTCGCGAGTGGCAGAAAATTGCCCCTTTTCTTACCGGCCACGGAATGTTTAAAAACACATGGAAAGGATAAACATCCTTAAGGGAAACAATGCATGTGATTTGTGCGATGAAGGTGTTCCCAGTCGTCTGATCACATACTCTTTGACTGTCCTGCCTTCAATCAACAGAGAATTCAAATGCAATCACTGTCCCGAGACAAAATAACCAATACAGAGAAGTTCTTTCATAGTCTAGTTAAAGACAGTGACATTCAAATCATCCTCTCAGGCATCTACAAAGTGGTAGAGAGACAAAATATTAGAACCTCGCTCATCAGTAAGCAGCATTCAATTAATGCATAAAGCAACACCATATCATCATTTGATTGTATATAAATCACATACAGTTGTATTTAAACCACACATCTCACATCCGAAGCATACGAACTTCCAGTTTCCATTGAAAGCTCAGTGTAAATAGTGCTTTTACCAAGTGATCACCTAACCTTATCGTATACAATCTTACGAACCTCGTAACTCAGCAAAATATCGTGCGTATAGTTACGAAGCTCAAGCATCGGAAATCTCAGCAACTTTAAATATTTCATTCATTTCGTGATACGAACCTCCCGCACTTCGTCCCACCGCAGCTCTCCATCAGATGGCGCTATCATCGTCTTCACCTACTCACACACACGAATAGGTTCAGTTGTCAATCTGATCTCCTCAAGTCAACATCAAAAACGTTTCCGAACTCACCGAACCATCTCTTCTGCGTACGAACCTCGTATCATTACTAACCTCGTGTTAAAATCATATTCTCACCTCATCTTACTCATCGTACAAATACGAACCTCGTATCATTACTAACCTCGTGTATAAATCATATTCGCACCTCATCCTACTATTCGTCGTACAAATACGAACCTCGTACAAACCATTCTACCGCAGTTCGGACATATATTTTAGTGAAACCTCAGTGATTGTGCTAATCGTTCGTCCATCTTAAATCACATCTTAGATCTTTTACTTCTAACCCAAGTGCTTCCAAAGTTCTTCCTGTTCTACATCTCACCTTAATACTTCATCAATAATCAACAGTGCATAAATTCATCTATGTCAATAACCAAAACTTACGAACAGTTCATCTCAGACCATATCAACACAACAGAATCAAATTGTAGGTGTAATAAGTGCAAAAAGTGTCGTGAAAAAGTTAAAGAAATGGAGACTCTCAAAAAGATGGAAGAGATAATGGAGCAGCGTATGAAGAAATACGAAGAATCAATGGAGCTCAAGCTGAAATCTCTGCTTGGCACTAGAGAAGAGTCACCTTGTACAAAATCTCAAGGCACGAGCGAACCTGAAGTTCTGTGCTCAACCTCAGGTGATGAAGCTAGGAAAGAAAAGGAGATACCTCAACCAGGGACACAGCAAGAAATCGAAGGACTCGCTTTCATCTGTTGAGAAGTACCTTGAAAACACACAGAAGCAAGACCTTCGAGAAATAAATAACAAGCTCATCAAGAAAGCACCCGATTTCTTAAGTAATCACCTTCATAAGCTAAATCAACTCATAGATAAACAAGCCAAAGAGATCGAAAAATTGAAAAATAAACAATCATCTGGTGTGAATAAGAAAAAGGCAGTCGACTCAGAGAGTTCAACAAGCGAAAGGGAGATAGAAACCAAGCCAGGAGACATTCACATCGAGAAATGGGGCCTTTTCCGAAGAACAAGTTCAATCAACTTCCGGAAAAGTACAGGTCAGGTTTTCTACCTGAGAAAGGTTATAAAATCGTGCTTCATCGACTACTTCCAGGTGGTTCTCATGGGCCTGCTCCAAAACCACCACTAAGTCGATATAAAATCTGTTTGGAAAGAAAATGTTTCTACCTCGAGGACAACAAAGCTAGAAGTATGCATAAACATAGGCAATCTTACCATCCGGACGCAAAAGAAGCTAATGATATCTGGGTTGACCTAACGCCCGAAGAACTAGAAAACCGATCTAAGAATTGGCGAGATCAGATGGAAAATCGTAATAAACAGGCGAAATCACCACGAAAAAAGGTTAACCGAAAAGAAACGAGTAGAGAGTTTGTATCTGACAGCTCTTCGTCCGAAAACGAAGCTGAGTGTTCATACGAGCCTCGGAAAACGAACAAAGCAGCAAAAGTGACCGAAGCTTCCGAATCCGAAGTGCCAAAAGCGACTTCTGATTTACTCGAAGCCGAAGCCGTAGTCTCATTTCAAGACGAACCTCCCGAAGTCAATTTGTCAACCGCACCATCTGCTTCGGAAAGTCCTTCTGACACTAGTTTCTCAACGGTTACAGTAGAACCTTCAGCTATAAGTGATAAACCACCACAAACAGCAACAACAACAATCGAGAAGTCTACAAGTGACCTAGGTGACAAGTCAACAGTTGTGACTACTAAAGAAAAGCATCCATCGGATGAAGCGTCCATGCAAGTCAAAGCTAAGCCATTAGCTGTCGAAAGAACGTCGCAACCAAAGCAGACTCTTGGTGGAAAGGTCGAGGTAAAGCTGGCCTCAAATGCTTTCGTAAATACGCCTTGAAGCAAGCTAAAAACCACACGCAAAGACTCTCGGCCGTAGAAAAGGGAATAGCTGATCTTAAAAACACCATTGCCGGTATTCCAGGAATAAGTGACGAAGTAAATCTATCAGAATCTTCGTCTGAATTCTCATCAGGAGACGAATACGAGCCAGAAGAAGACCAATAAAATAACGTAAAGAGCCACTTGCTTAGACAAACCAGGCCCCACATCATATCATTTGTCCTTATTTTCTCAAACAGTGAACATTAAGCAAAATCAAAATAAAAGTTCCCTGAACCTCAAATCCTTACAAAATTGTCTCCGAACCTCATCATTGTACATTCCCTATCATTACGCACCTGTTCATCATTACGCACCTATCCGATTAGTTACGAACCTCGTATTATCATTACGGATACC